GATTAGCTGTGTGGGACTGAGGAAAGGGCTGAACCTCTCTGTGTTCTCATGAAAGAGCCGAGTCACAGTGCCCATTAACCCAGCCGAACCTGCTGCCAATTCCAACCACAGAGACTGTGTAGGACAGAGCAGAGATGCCCAATGGGTGTCCAATGCTGCCAATCTCCATGGAAGCAAATAGCTTCCTCTTCCTCCTGAGGAACAGGCGGAGTGTGCACAGGCCAGTCTCTTGTGAGCAGCAGAGCATGTAAGCCCTGCCCCACCAGGCCCCTGCACAGGGCTGGAGGAAGAGTGGATGGAGGAGAAGCTGTGGTTGTGTGCTCCTTGGTCTGGGGCCTGGCAGGGAGTCCATGCTTGAGAACAGGGTGTCCATGGTTGTTAATTAGCATCCTAAAGGCAGCTCACAAGTGGAGATCCCTCACTAAAAGATCACATTTGAAGCCCCATCTTATACTAGGGTTTGCCCGGGGCCTGCTCTTCCAACAGCTGGGATGCTCTTGACTCAGTAACATCTGGACATTTGTAGACCCATCCTCAGGTGGTTCGTGCTTTCCCGAGAGAGGGAAAGTGCCGATCCAGACAAGCTTTGCCTCCCAGTCAGCTCTGAGCTCTGAGTCTGGATAGAGGACGCCTAGGGCAGCTTCTGCCTAGCCAGTCACTCGGACGTGCGAGGGCCCAGGCATTCAGGAGGGGCGAGTTCTTGGTCACACAGGGGCAGGGAAGCATGTCCCTTCATCGCAGGGCGGTCCCGGGTGTCTGGAGAAGTCACAACACTACCTGGTTCTTCTGGAAACCAGCCTGAGATCTCTGACCCGCTCCCTTCATTTCATAGACAAGGAGTTGGACTTCCAAAATCCATGTGACCTGCTCAAGGGCCACAGACAACAGAGAATGGAGTTTAAAGTGCTCCGTTCACGGTCCCAGTTCCTCAACTCTCCTGCCCCTTCAAGCACGAGGGAATAATAATAGCAGTAATGTATTTCAGAGTGTTACCTGTTCATAGCAGAACAACCAGAAAACACATCAAGCCAAAGAACATTCCCGAGAGAAAACTGACTGCAGAAACCGGGATGGTGCGCTAGGAAGCCGAGGGCACCAGGAGTTCAGGGGCTGGTAGGGGGAGAACTCAGAAAGGAGAGGGAGGTGGCTTCTCAGCTGCATGAGAGCCTCCCTGTCACCAGGGGTCCCGGTGCACCGGTCGCATCGCTGCACGGTCTCCGCTTACTTCCAACAACAAAAATAAAATATGAACAAAAGAATAGTGAAACCGTCCTTAAACCTAAAGTAGGAAGATCATTACTGTCAGCTCCTTGGAGGTTTCTGGGTGCTCTGTACATTTATCTGTCGATATTTCCTAAGATAGGGATGCTACTGTAGATACTTTTATAACCTGCTTTTCTCACTCAATCTGTCATTAACCGTCCCCATGACAATAATTTCCTTTCCAGGCATCATTTTAGTAGCAACATAGTGGTTCCTCTTATGAATATTCTGCAGTTTACACAAGCAGTGTTCTATTTTAGATATTTATGTTCTTTCCGACCTTTCAGTCTTAGGAGCCATGCTCTGAGGAAGGTAAGTGTAGCTAAATCTTTGCATCTTTCATTGTTCTTTTTGGGGAACATTTTGGGAAATGAAATCGTTAGATCAAAGGATAGCCCCTTTAAAGACAGGGTTTCGATGTGTTTTGGCAAATTGCTTTCTAGAGCAGGTGCGCTCTTTCAGACGGCCCCCCCTATGCGTCATCTTCTGAGAGAGGAAGACAAGCCCCACGCATGTGAGCTATCAGGGGTAGATGAATGGGGTGGAAGTGCATGCAGACAGAGACGCACTTTGCTGCAAAGCCTCGCTGCTGTCTCTCTGACATTGATGTCTCTTCCCTCAGCAACTCGCCTTTCAGAGTGACTGGAAGCTCATCCACGTGTTCTTCAGCAATGCCAGCCAGTGCCACCTGTGCCCCGTCGCCCAACAGGTAAATTGCAGGCGTGGTGGTCCAGGGATTGTGGGTGGGGCGTGGGCAAGCGAGTGAATTTGACCTGCCTGGTCCCCAACTGCAGACTCTCAAGGAAGCGCGGATCAGAGCAGATGCTCTTAAGATCCTGCAGATCAGGAGATGGAATTGATCGGTTGACTCAGTCATCCTGCAACTGAGAAACATGTCTTCCCAGCTAGTTAGAAAATTATTTTAAAGTTTTTGTTGTTGTTGGTATCTAGGCGTGTTGGTCCTGATGTCCGTCCTATTTACTAACCATGATTCCTTTCTATGAATGTGCTACGTTTTACTCTCTGATTTCTTTTTCAATGCTGATTTGGATATTTCCCCCATTCACTCTTAATAAGCTACAAGGAACAATCTTGTTCATTCACTTGTGTGTGCACAAACTGTTTTCTAACTACTGTTTCAAATTAAGTTTAACAAAATCAGTTCGAAGGATGGCAAACCGAAATTGTAAAAAGTAGAAGTAGAATAGAATGAACTATATAAACTTCTTAGAGTTCATTGTCTGTAGTAAGGTCACTGTCAGTCCATGAAACTTCGGATTCACTGCAGGTCAATGGACTCAAACCAAACAATGGCGAGGATGACACCGAACTGGGCAGCGTGTTACTCTGTTACCCACAGAGATCAACTCAAGGGTACCTAGTGACAATGTGTACGGGCTGCAAGCTGGAATCTTTACTCTGGACCATGCTCAAAATAGTTTGAAGGATAGTAGGAATAGATTCATCGGCTTCTCAGGCGTAGAACTGCTAATCACCAGGTGTGTGCGGGTCCAGCTTTCACAAAAGACCAAATAATAATCCATCAAACAAATGGCCGTTGACTTGATTCTGACGCACGGCTAGCTTTTCAGAAGGAGATCACCAGGGCTTCCTCTGGAGGCGCTGGGTGGACTCAAACCTCCAACCTTTGGGTTAGCAGTGGAGGATGCTAACCCTTGGCACCACCCAAGGGCTCCTTAGTTTTCACAGGAGCAGCGGTCTCACCCTCCAGAGCTGCTGGGTCCATTTGTTGTACCCCCTTGTCTGAGACTTCTTGTACCTTTCTAGCACTTGTTATCAAAATTAGTCCAAGATGTTGTTACGTTGACATGCAGGGACTTCATTTGTTCACACCCAGTCCCTCGTACATTTAATTGGCTATAACCTATAACAAGAGCAATCGTACCTCATTCGCAGCTTCTAAATGGCTATAAACCAGTAACTTGATCTTCATAAATTTAGCTCACTGTAGCAGTGCTCACTTCTCAAGTCCCTTTATAAAGAATTTCCCCCATCCATCTTGATTTTCACCTTCCAAGACCACCAAACCGTTGAGCCAAGAATAAATCTCACCTCCACTTCCATTTCCCTTAAAAGATCTGGCTCACTTGTCCCCTGGGCCTGGGCTTCGAGCTGCTCCCTCCACCCTCCCAGAGCTTCCACAGCTCAGACCCACAGGCTGCCGTCCTTTGCTGGTGTTGCCTCTGTCGGCTGCACGCTCCACCATCAAGCCAACCCTGGTGGCAAAGAGCAAGCTCCCCCTTCAGAAAAGTCCTCAAAAACCAGACTCACTGCCATCCAGTCAGTGTGGACTCAGCCACCCCGTGGGCTTGAGACTGTAACTGTTGACGAGAGTTGAAAACCCAGTCTTTCTCCCTTGGAACTGCGGGTGGTTTTGAACTGCCGACCATGGGGATCACAATCAACGTGTGACCACTACACCACCAGGGCTCCCCTCTTTAGAACAGTTCTTAAAATAAACATCACTTCCATCGAGGCCTTTCAGACTTTAACTCTTCACAGGAGCAGACAAAGTAGAACCTTAACTCTTTACAGGGGCCTCATCTTTCTCCCGAAGAGCAGCCGAAGGGTTTGAACTGCCGACCTTGTGGTTATCAGAACAATGCTTACCCCTGACACCACCCAGGATCCAGAAGAATGCTTATATAACATCTTTTTATGTTCCTCAAAACACATCTCAGGAACAGCCTCTTCTCTGTGGTTGACAACACGCTCTCTCCAGGGTCCCGGGGGCCATTGGAGGGACCTCTGGGGGCACAAGGCGAGGCACAGAGCTGGTGCCAGGCCTCTACCAACTTCACAGAGCAGCTTTGTGGACTTATGTCCAAGGCGAGGGTTTCTGATAACTCATCTGAGGGAGAAAGGGCGCTGTTGAAAGGATTGGTTCTAGGAGTGCCCTTCTCTGTCTTGAGA